TTTTTTTTTAACTAGCACCTGGGTCGGCAATCTTGAGTCCAACCTCAGTTCTTCCTCACCCTCCTAGTGATGGAGACTAACCTTAACAGACCAAGTACTAAGCGAAGGGGTAAAGGGGATGAATGTACAAACCTCTTGACAAAAACTATGACTGAAATCCATTTTAAGATGAGTCTGAAACAGTATGTGGTAAACTTGAATGTGAATTGCTTAGAACCTCTGCCAGCTTGTTTAATCATTGGTTTGCTTGGGTGAAGAGTATCAACTTGTATAGCGCACACATTTTCAGGTGAATTAAAAATAAGACATAACTTGTATGTCATTTAATAATCCTGTATTTCGTCTGTGTATGTCCTGCCCTTCTCTCCACATCTCAGCTGTGGTTATTCCTGACGGGGCGTCGGAGAAGGCAGGGATTGGAGATGAGCTGGGCAGTGAAGAGGATCTGCTGTACGAGGAGTTTCGCACTTCTGGGCATCGTTTCGGACACCCAGGAGGAGGCGGAGGGGAGCAGCTAGCCATCAATGAGGTACTGTAGTTTCTTCCACCAGGGCTAAAAGCACCATGTTTGCCCTGGAAGAAGTGGGTCTACGTTGAGGTTTAAAGCAGCTATATTTACAATAATTATGTAATAATAAGTATCATCTTTCATATTATTCTGATGGCATAAATATTCGTGTATTGTTTTTGCCACAGTGTCTTTTTTTAATTCTACCACTGGGGACACCATATTTTTAAATGGGAATAATGTAATTATCTGGAGTTCAGGACCTGACCTGAACTATGCCTCTTCTGTTTTCACACTATTTAACCCACTCAAACCTCCATACTTCCAGTCCCACTTTCATTACCCACCAATTTCTAATGATCACAGCAATTACAGATTCTATGGTGAAGTGAGAGAAAATGGCATAAAGTAAGAGGCTATGAAAACTACAGGGTGAAATTCAGTGGTAGTACATACAAATACAATGTTAGGATGGTAGCAAGTGAAACAGAGGCTGGCCTCAGTTGTCGTTTCTTTTTGATGCTGAGAGGAGGCAAAAACAAGCTCTGAGGTCGCTGGGATATTTGGTTGTCATGGATACCTTCAGTGGGTTCTGCTGATGCACAAGCTCAGTAAAATGTGATTTGCAAAGTAGATGCATACTCATACAGCACATCAGTGAAGCTTCTCAATGTAAGGTGTGACACTTATCATTGATCTTTGTATACACTGATCAACCAAAGCATTATATTCAAAGATAAAGGGAATAATGTTGATTATCTCATAAGAACCACACATGTCAAGGTCTGGCACATATTAGATGGTAAGTGAACAGCCAGTTCTTGTAGTTAGTTATTGTTTGCAGGTAAAAGTCTTTTCAGGTTAGGTGGCTGAAAAGCAAGCACAAGAAATCACAGCAGATTTACTTTTAGGTGCACACACATTTATGTCTAATACTATGATGACAAATACTAAACACTACAAATACTGCAGGCAGACAAACAAAAACACACAAAGGAGAAATCAGAGACATACAGTATCTTTATCACTGTTGTAATATAACGCTATGGTGAGTTGGGTGCTGAACCCTCAAAGACAAAGATCAGTACTGAAAAGTAGGACAGCACTCCTCTGGAATCATTTGTTCATACATTGCATGGACATTTTGGGCAGATGCTTTCCGCAGTGTGCAAATTAGCAGTAGTGTTACATCCAGGCACAGTGAACTATATAACAATAATAATTACAGTCACACCAAGGAGGAGCTTGACACTGGAGACAAACCATGCAAGACACAGATTCCAAAAATCTCACTACAAAAAAAAACAAGACAAAATCATGACTGGTGTTTATTAGACCACAAAACCACAAGTACAGCAATCCGATCTGACTGTCACCTAAAGGGCGGTGTACTGTTAAGAAACAGTTGAGCCCAACAAACTCCTAAACATCTCGGAAACAAAACTGTACTGTACATTTTGAAAACATTTAACTCACCACTCAGTG